CTCATTTAGAGACATCTTGGTGGTGCTTTTTAGCACAACTTTTGGCGCTGACTGGGCAGCCATCTGCAAATCCCGAGAATCGAAGGAAACGGACACCAGTGCTCCTCCCGGGGCTGTCACCACGGCTGCGGCAGGCAGGCCGGGATGGTCGTACCCAAGTGGATGATGGAGGGACTCGGGCTGACTAGGTGGGCGGTTGGTTTGATGCATAATTGGTAGATGGTGAGGTTCACTCTTTAGGGGTCGGCTGCCTACTCACTGGATGATCCGCCTGCTCTCCTGGCCTGCCTTTTCCTGCTTTTCGTCTGTAACACCAGTTTGGAGGTGAACTCCCGCTCAACGGCTAAAACAAAATCTGTCAGTTCATTTTTTGAGAACAGTTTTGTGCTTTTAAAAATCATCTTTTGGGGCTGGGGAGATGGCTCAGTAGAATAAGCATTTCCCTGGCAAATGCAAAGTCCTGAGTTCAATCCCTGGTTCCACCAAAAAAAAAAAAAAAAAAAAAAAAATCATCTTTTGAGTCCACACTGATGAGGGAAGATAACGTGGTTATCCCTTTTTTTTTCATCCTCATACATTTTGCCAACATCTCTGGCGGGGAATTGAGTTAGAACCCGTTAAGTGGGAGAACTTAAGAGGGAAAAGCAGGTTTGGAGTGGGAAGGTATGGGGTTGAGTTACTGTCTGGCTGTATTTGGAGATAGTTTAGCAGAACTGCTTTTTGACTGGCACCCTGTTCTTCGTGCTTCTCCAAATCTCCGTTACTGAAGGCTATCCTCCTGAAAGGTTCTCCTTGGCCCGTAGGTTCTTCCTCATCTCTCTTGGATGCTGTACACACCTTGAGACCATTTGGATCAGGCCAAAACCAAAGCATTCAGCCATGGACCCCCAGGGACACTGCCTGGAGTAGAGTTACTTGTTGCAGCAAAGGACAACACATGGCACAGGGAACTCCTGAGCTTCTCAATCAGGTGACACGAGGGGACTGCTGTAAGTTAAAGGCTTATGCTAAGTGCCTTCGAGGCGGGCCAAAGAAGTGAGATTTGCTCTAGATTATATGCTGTCTAGGGGTGTGGGCTTTTCCACAATTGGGCTCTTGAACCTCTTCTTCAAGGTGACAGGAATGGGATGGCGAGAGGCCACAGTCCCTCATAGTTGCCAAGATAAGGGAATGTCTGGTTGTTTTTGTGGTTTGGACAATGGTCATGTATTTGTGTATGTTCAGACTTGGTTAAGGAATGCTTTTGTTTTTGTCTTCATTTTTTGCAGTACCAGGGATTGAACTCAGGACCTTGTGCATGCCGGGCAGTTGCTCATGCTGCCAAGCTATCTCCCTGGCCCTCATTTTTGTCTTATAGTAGTTAAAGTGGCCTTGTCTGATAGTGGGGTCCAGTGAAGTTTTTATATTCAACAGAACCCAAAGCCCCAGCTACAGTGTCAGAGAAGCTTCTGGCAACATTGTCCTGTCTCCTTGAGACAGCTGGACCAGTTCCCAGCTGCCAGGGGATGCCTTCCTTTTTCTCATGAGCCTAGTATTCCTACCTCCATACTCTGTCCTTGTGATTTAATAGCCTTGTCTTGGAAGTGAAAGCCCAAACTTATTTCATGCCTCTACCCCTCTTCTGGGTCTATGAGAGAGTATTGGGTACAAGATGGACTGACATTTAACCAGGATATGTGGTACAGTACTTTGGGTTCTTATTTTTATTTGGGGGGGTTCTTTTATTTTTATTGGGACTGGTTCTAACTATGTAGTTCAGGCCAACCTTAAATTCACAATGACCATCCTACCTCAGCCTCCCCAGTGCTGGGATTGCAGGTGTGCACCACCACTACCCAGCTTCTAGACTCCTTTTAGGTGTTTCCCCAACTCTGTCCTGCCCTGCACAGAGGGATGCTGGCCAAGACCAGTGGCTGGAGTGGCCACTTCAGCATCAGGCTCCTTTGTGAGGTAGCCTCAGTGACAAAGGAGCTATGACACAGGGACCACCCAACCCCAAACTATCTGGGCCAGCCACACCAGTCCTGCCCTCCAACTCCTTAACACCACCTGCCTGACCTAAGCTTTGCCATGTTGCTGACACTTCTTGGCGCCTGCGCTGTGGTGGGGCCATTCTGGGGCCCCGAGTGGGAGCCAGTGCACGGCCTGCTGCCCCAGGACTGCAGTTGCAGGGACCCCCGGTGCTGCGGCAACCTAATTGTCCTCTGCCTCTTTCTGATCTGGCAGATCCGCCATTTCTGGTACCAGGTAACCAGGTTCTGCTCCAGTAAGAAGAATGTCAACAAGGTGAGAGGGCACTTCATGCTTCCTTCCATCAGCTCCATGATTGTCCCTGTCACATGCCATAAGGACTCTGTCCTGTGCCCTGTGATCCTAAGGATGGGACCACCACCCAGGCCCCAAACCTAGCAGTCATTTGGGCTGTTCTGTTTTCCTCACTCACCGATTCAATCTGTTTGCTACTCCTGTGGGCTGTCCCTGTAAACCGTACCTCACATCTGCTCATTTCCTGCCTTCTGCCTGGCTCCTCTCAGGCCAAGCCACAAGCATTCTTCCAGCCAGCCACCAGCCAGCCACAGTAACATGCTTTCTCTGCTCTCTTTTTAAAATCCAGTGCAGTCAGGATTGGTGGTGCCCATCTGTAATCCTAGTCCTTTGGGAAGTCGAGGCAGGAGGATCACAAGTTTAAGATTAAGACCAACCTGTGCAACTTAGCAAGATCTAACCTGTTAATAAAAATGAAAAGGGCTGAAGAGACCCTGATCCAATCCCCAGTACTGAATGGGGGGG